GATAGCTGAGTGAGTATAGTGACGGGCTTTGGGCTGGATATCCGGCCTTCAATTGTGGGCAGGGATGACAGGTTTTTGAAAGCATCCTGACTGGCTCTGAGGCCCACCAGTGTCTCCTGTGCAGTGGGCACTGGGCACTATTTCTGCAGGAGGCAAAGCTGCCGGTGCATGAAGCTGACCAGCCACTCACCCCTTCCAGTGCCAAGGTCCACAATTGTGGAACAATCCCTCCGCTCCCCCATATGTCTTCCTGGCATTAGCTCTTAATTAAGCAATTACAGGGACAACTTTATCATTATTATAAATTATTTGGGCGATAAGAAATTAATGTATTTTTGAAATGGTTCCCAATGCACAGAATTTTAAAACAGCAAGGATAGTGATTAACTGAAACTGCTCGTTGAGTCTTCCGAGAATAACTTGCAGGAGAGTAATTTTGATGCAAATTATATCAGATCAAGTAAGAGCGGAGGTGCTGTTTTCAAATGGTGATCCTTCTATTTTATTAAAATTACTAAGTTTTTTATATAATATTAGATTAGCAGCTGGTGATACACATGAACAAATTCCATATATGACTGTAACGACATAACCATGCCTTCAGAATCAGACGAATTTTCAAGCCTGTACAGCTGCCGCCCTTATTATTCTTGCACCATGAATGTATTTCCTGACTTGTTTGATATGTGGTATATTTCATGAAATGAAAGAAAGATGAAGTTGCCCTATGCTTAATTAAGCACCTCACCAGGTAGACAGCAAGAAGGAATATGTGTATATTTCCCCACATTCTTAATAGCGACAATACATACGGAAGCATGTTCAGCTTCACCCTTATGGAAAGAGGCCCCCAATAAACAGAAAGCCCGACTGGACATGTGGAAAAGAGAATACCTACTGATCCTGTCAGGAATCAAACCCTGATTCCTCGGTCATCCAGCCCCTAACCCAGTCACCACAATGGCTGAGCTGTCCCTGCTCCAATATATATGAAAGGAGAATGAAACTAATGTCCAACTACCAAGAAATGCCATCTGTGTGGCAATGGGTGGACATGATTTTCTTTACCAGCATGAAGGTCTTGGGTTCAAGTCCTGATGAGGCCATTGGATATTTTTCAGTTGACCTAATCCTTCCAGCCGCACTATGGCCCTGGGGTTCACTCGGCCTCTAACAGAAATGAGTACCAGGAATTAATTAAATAAGTTTCCTGGGTAGTAAAGTGCGTCCGGTGCATAAGGCTGACAACCTTACCGCCATCTTTGAGCCGATTGTCTAGATAATGTGGGACCCTCAACGTCTCAGAACCCTATGGGCCTTCACGGCCTGGTACAGGGATAGCTTTACTTTTACTTATCTTACTTACAAGTAAATGAGAGTATATGACCACCCTGGCCCTATAATAAATAAACATGAAGAACAGTGACTTATCAGTAATCTCAACAAGTGCGGAAGGCGACTAGTCAGATTATGAATGGTTCAATGAAAGAGCTGGTAGCAAATGTAAGAGGGTGTTTGGGACTGACTATGTCATTTCTACTCCCTGTAATATGCGAGTCCATACATTCTGATCACCAAGCACATGCTGAACCATTTTCTGAAATCACATAACACCTTGTAGCCTCCTGCCAACTCTATGAACGAGGCTACGTCATACCTTGTATAGGCA